TAAGCAGAAGCAAAGACTAATGGAGCTGGAGTTTAAAGCAGCAGCAGGCTCTGCAGAATTAGTTTCTGCTAATGTAAACTCGAGACTGAACAGCAGCGGTCAGTCTTTTGCAATAGTTGTAGTTGAAACTACTTACTGAAATCTGACATTAGAATGTGTGCCCCCCAAAATTCTTTTAATCTAGTCCCTTTTCCCCATACGAAACGCCACCTACTTGTAGCTAGTCTTTGGCGGCTAATTTCACACCAAAAAAATTCTTTAACTATGGTACCTCTTATTGTGCTGGGATTAAGTGTCATTTTAATTCTCATATCTAGTAGCATTATTATTACGATTGTGATTGCTTTATTTGGCTTGCCTGAGGGCCCTACCAAATGTGGACAAGGGTGCCGCGGCAGCACCAGCCATTGTTGATGTTCAATGACATGAATGTTCATGTCACCCCACGGGTGCAGGCATGTTTCCATTGGGGTGAGGGGCGGAAGCTTTTAGGGTTTAGAGGTGGAGTGTTCAAACTCAGCTATCCCAACTACCCTCAACCCTACACCCTAACCCCAAAAGATAACCTAAAACCCTAAACCCCCAGCCCTAAGCCCCTAAACCCATGAGGCAAAGTGGATGTTGTGATTTGCCCTCCGGCACTTTGGATGTTCTCCTTGAACGAGTCTATCGAGGCCGGCCTCCTGCTTTTTTCATGTTATAGTCCCCCTTAAGTAGATAGAATATGGTGTATCATGGCAAAGAAAATGGAAACTACTGTAGTATAATGGGATATAGAGGTAATGGAAAAGAAAATGGAATCTACAAGTTAGGGTTTAGGGTCTATAGTCCCCCTTAAGTAGATAGAATATGGGGTATATATTGGATAATGGAAAAGAAAATGCAAACTACTATTTAGGGTTTAGATTTTAGGGTCATGGTCCCCCTTAAGTAGATAGAATATTAAGGTTCTATTGGGGTTATATAGGGATAATGGAAAAGAAAATTGAAACTACTATTTAGGGTTTAGGGTTTAAGTCCCCCCCTAAGTGGATAGAATATGGCTTTGGGTATATTCTAATAAGATCTTCATATACCCTATATTCTATCTACTTGAGGGGGACTTAATTAAGAATTATTGTGATTATTATTTCTATCATTTTTGCTGCCTTCACAACTACTGTCATTACTACTACTTTTACAACCCAAAACCCTAAACACTTAGATGCCGACTCCTGTGGATCCGCATGTCTTGAGGTCCTAGAACAGCAGCCCCAAAGGATGTAGAAAATGACCTTTTAGGCAATTTAGGGGGTTTTGGGGCCAGTACTTTGAATACTTTTGAGGTCCAGGCAACCCCGAATCCTATTAATTTACTGGTATGCTACTAGTATCATGTTGTTATCGCTCCTACTCCTGATGCTTCATAAGCCCTAAAATGCCTGATTTTGTCTCCAGGCTTTAATCCCTAAACTGCCTGACCTTGTCTGCAGGCTTAAGCCCTAAACCCCGAACCCCTAAACCTTAAACCCCAAACTCGAAACCCTAAACCTTCAAGCCCAGCCCCGAATAAATAGAAATTCTATAGGGCCCAAAAGCAAAAGCCAAACCTCGCTCAAACCTCCGGACATGAATCCTATACAGCTTCTATAAACCCAAAGCCCTTTGTCTTCAACCCAAAGCCCTTTGTCTTCAGGCTCTGGGCATGAGCACCTGTGCACAGAATGTGGGCAAGAACGATGCTGGAGCCTTCACAGGAATCTCGGAAGCAAACCCTACACGCTAAACCCTCTACTTTCCCAGTCCGGTCTTGTGTAGTGGACTCCCAGTATTGAACCTTGCGATGCTGTATTGGCCATGCAAGCGGCAAACCCTCTACTTTAGGAGGACCCACCACCCTTCAATAGTGGTAAAATAGGAAAATAACAGGATCCTAATAGATTCCTTATTATCCTTTATCGTCACTATTACTGGGTGGGGGGTCCACCTAACCTATACTCCCCTATTCCCTACTAACCCTGAACCCTAAACCCCATTCCCTCAACCCTATATTCCCAAGAGCCTGGGGTCAGGGTTTGGGTTCAGGGTTGAGGGAATGAGATTAAGGTGCACACCCCACCCCATCATAGTGGTATACTTTAGGAGGCCCCCCCCACCCTGTAATTGTGGTATAATAGGAATGTAATAGGGCCTTACTATAATCCTTATTATCCCTTATAGCCACTATTACAGGGTGGGGGTCCTCCTAAGGTATACTCGGAAGGTAGGACGCCGCCACTACAATCACCATTCTTCCTTACAGCTCTAATCCCTAAACCCTTAACCGCGTGTTGTTTTGGGGGTTCCACACGGCAACCATCAAGTTCTGAGATTTTGCGAACATTGGGGGCCCTTGGGGGGAGTCTGTAGAAAAGGAATTTTTGCATTGGGGGCTCGGTTGGGGTACCCTGTTTTTTTTAGAACCCAAACCCTAAATCATAGACCCTTCAACCCTAAATATTGGGTACTGCCCCCCCCCCCCCTCAGTAACAGTTGGATAATAATTGAAATAGGGTTATATATAGCCCTTAATAGGACCCCCAATATAGACTGTTACAGGGTGGGGGCAGTACCCAACCCCAAATAAGAACCCTAAATCCTAAACCCTAAATCCTAAATCCTAGACCCTTGAACCCCAAACCATAAACCCTAAACCCTAAATACTCGAAGCTCAGATGCCAAGGTGAGTGGACCGCCAAGAACCTGTTGGACATCGTGGCTGGGCTGCATTCAGCTCACGTCTTGCTGGTTGTTTTTGGGTTAGGGTTTAGGGTTTGGGTTCTGTGTAGTTTCCTTAAATTGGGAGAACCCAATATACACCTCAAATTGCTACAGTTCTTATGAATTATTATGGTGAACCCAAAAAGGCACCCCTAATTTTTCAGAAGCCCGCCAGGAGGTAATGAAGTGTGGAAAAAGCAATAGAACCTACTGCCGAGATGCCTTCAAGTATGTGAACTTTTAGGGTTTAGGGTTTCAGGGTGGATGCAGAACATCTTGCAACACTTCAAGTAACCCTTAGCGTCCTTAGCAGACGGGGGAGGGAAGGTATCCTTCATCCGTGTCAAGCAAACTTGTAATCCCCTCCCCTAATGTTTTCAACCTTCCCGACCCCACACTATCAAGATATTCCCTATGCAATACACCATCACGGGAATACTCAGAATTAGTGGGGTGGGGGGTTTATATTATTAGGGCAGGGATTGCCACCCTAAACTGTTGATCTACTGTAGATCGGGTAAACGCGAGTGTTCACCAAGAACATCTCCTGGACCCTCATCGGACATTCGGAGCGGAGAACGAAGTATGGCGAGACAGACGCAGATGTTGCAGAGAAAGCCGCTGGGATGCCATTGCAGCTGGGTGTCCCAGGAGCCCGATACCCCTTAATTAAGGCATAACCCGAAGCCCTAGTCCCTCAACCCAAAACCCAAAACCCTCCGGAAAACCCTAGACCCTAAGTCATGATTAAGAATCCTGGTATTGTGTAAGGTTTATTCCTTGATTGAGGTGTAAGGGGCTCTCTGGGTAGGCTTCTAGGACCTAGAAGTCCATCAGCTAGGGTCTACTGTTTACGGTTTAGGGTTACTTGGAGGCCCATGGGACTTAGTAACTACTTATAATTGGGCTTATAAATAACCCTACTTATAAATCCCCCTAAATGGGGTAGGGTTACAATCCCAGTTATAAGTAGTTACTAAGCCCCATGGGCCTCCAAGTAGGCTTCCGCTCAAGGTCGCCAAGTGCCAGGACGCAGGGCTCAATGTTATCCTTTGCATCGGCGAGACTTTAGAAGAGCGTCGGGGCCTTGAACTTGCGTCTGGTTAGTAGTATAGGGGCCATTCATGGGGATACTAAAGTACGAAGAGTCTAGAGTATAGCTCATATAACCCTGTGACCCTGGTATTTGTAACATTAGGCGGTGCGGTGGGGTGTTTAAAATCCACTATGTAAAGCTAGTTTCCGTGTCAGGTCGGATGATTATCACTATATAAGCCTCGTATCTATTTCATTTCATCTTCTTCTACATCTGATTCTCCATTAGGGCAATTCCCTACACAACCTCAAGGCGAGGGAGGAAAGACCGACGAGGTCAACAAGAGGCAGCTGGCAGCCGTCATCCCAAAGGTGAAGGCAGGGAGCACTAGGTTTAATTAGGGCTTAGGGTGTTCAAGGTTTTTAGGGTTTAGGGTTTGTTTGTTTTACAACCTTTTTAGCTTCCATGTTTGCTTCCTGATGAGGCTGGGATTGCGCAGGGTTTTAACGAGCCTGCAAAGCTTTGTTTGTCCTGAATGGACACTTGCCCCAG